TGTTTCATGCGAGGCATCTTCGTACTAATAAAAAACAGCAGAATCATAGTCATATGAAACTTTGCATGTGGATATAAATCACGATATGATTAATCACACAGCCCTACTCTGCACACTTTGGAAAAATTATTCTCTATTTTTGGTCAGACTTTATTCATTAAATTAAGACTAAAAGCCCAGAACCAGAGTTTTTTACCTTTGTAATGTTTTGTCAGTGGCTATAGTATACCTATTAGTACAGCACAAGCCTTAAAGAAAAAAACAAAAAAAAAAACTTTGATCTCCAAAATTTGTCACTATTAATACAATGACCAAACAATGTCTCCTCACAAGCTTTTTTTTTTTTTTTTTTTTTAAAAGCACTTGACCATATATAACAAGATCTTCATTAGTAGATCATTTGCTCAGTTGTAGATGTTCAGACGTCTGAGGAAAGTGCTGAAGAAGACCACATCATATGGTGATGCATTTGAAAGCAGATGAGCAGTGTTAGGTTATTTCCTAGTTAGATATTCAGAGATTTGTTGTCTAGAAATGTTTAGTGCAGACAGATTGACTAGCTCAGGCTGTTAACTGTTCAGTAAATGTGCCTGCAGTGCAGACTGCAGGCAGGTCAAGGTTACAGGCAAAGAGCTGTTAGTGTCAACTGTAATGCTAGTCTTAATATTTGTCTTAATGTGTAAGGTTATGTCCAATTGTTTTAGATACACACCACGAAAACAACAGTCACACACCTTGACTTTTCCTCATGTTTTGGCTAACGTTATAGCCAACTGCAAAGCTGGCTTATCAGGTGATGTCACGGTTTTGACGCCCCGAGTAGCATGGGCTAGCCCAAAAATGATTAAGATTATATAGGTTTGTTGGTCCAGGCTTCTTGATCTTTCCTGCTGCCTGCGCGCAGGTAGAGGGTGAGAGAAAGATCTGGACGTGTAATGTAAATTTTACCTGTGATCCTCTGAATAAACCAGCACGGTTATTTTTTATAAAATCTAAAGCTGTCTACTTCGTCTCATTGAGAGTTCCTGGTTTAAAAGAACCGGAAGAAGCTACAGAGAAATAGTAGCTTATACTTTAAAGCATTACCTGTTTTAAGTGATCTTCACAGTTACAATAAACATTTAAGCAGCAAGTCTAGGTTCACAAAACAAAGGATGTTTATTAAAATTTTATAAAGCAGAATGCCCCTAAACAGTGATGGCATCCACCTTTCAACAGGTTGGTGGCAAAGTATATTCCTTCCAAACTGCCAAGAAAACCTTAAGCTGGTAAGCAAGGGTGGGTAAAAAAGTCATTTAGGTGCTTCCAGCTTTCTTGCAACAAACAGAATGATCCAAAAGAATCCAATTAAAAAAAAAATAATAATAATCAAAGCAAGCCCATTTGTAGTCACTCCAGATTTAAGCCAACATTAAACATCTGAGTAGAAAATATTACCATTCTAAACATTCAACAGCCATTTAGACGGCACTGAGTATAAATACTGAGTGATATCAAAAACGTAACACTAAATATACTGTCCTGAACAGAGCTTGAAATATACAACTGAAGCTTATACACACACACACTTAATACAAACTACAGCCTGGCTCAGTGAACATGAAAAACCTCAGCAGTTGTTGCATGTGAATGATAATTCAACAAATGCCTTAAAATCTGACAGTTCTTACATTACTGCTTGAACAGGCTGAACTGGGTTTTAATCCAAACTTCATGCAATGAAGTTGTAAACGAGGAAGGTTGGGGTGTTGCAGTACTTGGTGGCGAACAGTCTGCCATCAGGTGTCGGGTCAGAGAAGGCAATTTCCTCCTTGGTGAGATGACTGCCGTACATGAAGGTGCTCCTTCAGACCCAGAAAGAAAATGTGATTAGTGAGGGAGGGACCAGCTGTAATCTATGTCAGGTTAAAACACAGAACCATTCACTATTTGGCATTTTTGACAGTGACAAATGATTTATCAAAATAGTTGCATGTTAGATTATTTACCTAATTATTGACAAGGTGGCCAGTTTTACCAGTGTCACCAGGTTCTGAGATCTCAGCAACTACTTGTGGCAATTTCTTAATTACTAAACATTACAGCTTTGCATGGCTAAACTGAGAACACATTTTAAATTTGTGGTGCAGAAGTAAAATACACTGCTGGCCAAAAGTTTGGGGTCACCTGCATTTGTCCAGTTATTAGTGTGATCCAACAGCCAAACACTTGTCTTGCTTAATTTACTTCCACTGCTGCAGAAAAGATTGATGTTATCCTAAAAAGGCCCGTTTTAGTTTTAACCTCTGGCGGTTTACTTCTTAGCTTTGTACCATTTCAGTTTAGTCACTGGATTTGAACTGCTTATATGTGAATAAAACGGGGGTGTTCTATGTATTTATGTTGTGTAACACCATACCTGACGGTGTCCAGCATGCGGGTTGCGATGCCCTGTCGCCTGGCCAGGCTAAAGACCCAGATGCGGCTGATCCCACACAGGGCTTGTTCTGGGATGGTGGAGCAGCACCAGGCTCTGTGTCGCTCCATGAAGTCGTCCTTGGTCATATCCTTGTGTTGGTCTGGCTGCTCGAGGACTCTGTAAGCCTAAAAGGACAAAGTGGACTGTAAATTCAGATTTACACTTAACTAATTAAGTTGTGTAACCAGTAGTGAAGGAGAGGACTACCAGAATTTCTTACAGAATTACACTAATTTTTGATTTAACCTCTTCTTCTTTCAGCTGTTCCCGTTAGGGGTCGCCACAGCGAATCATCTGTTTCCACCTAACTCTATCCTCAGCATCCTCTACTCTCACCCCAGTTAACTTCATGTCCTCTTTTAGCACATCCATATATCTCCTCTTTGGCCTTCCTCTTGACCTCTTGCCTGGCAGCTCCATCTCCAACATCCTTCTACCAATATAACCACTATCCCTCCTCTGCACATGTCCAAACCATCTCAATATGGCCTCTCTGACCTTGTCCCCAAAACAGCCAACCTGAGCTGTCCCTCTGATGTGCTCATTCCTAATCCTGTCCATCCTGGTCCCTCCTAAAGAGAACCTCAACATCCTCATCTCTGCTACCTCCATCTCTGCCCTCACTACTGTCTTGCTGCCACTCTGTCACAAATTGTTGATTTAACCTATTTTAAATAAATATGTGGTGGTGAATGTTGATATTGTGGCAGGCTGCCACAAATAAATCAGTGTAAGGGAAACACCAACTACTACTCTAGGGATTCACGGGCCAAAAAAAAAACAATAAAATGTCTGTAAAGAACTATAAGGTGCACATGGCCCAGCCCTACCTGTCGTAGAGGTTCAGCAACAAGACATCCCACCACCATGTGCTCTGTGTTGATATACAGGTATGTTTTGGCCTGTGTGGGTCTGCTTAGAGCCACCTGCTGGAAACCCAACTCATTGTCCACTATACAGCGCACATCTTCAGCCTGCAAACACAGAAAAGCAACACAGCTAAAAACAGCAGGTTTTCTGCCCCTTCAAGTACACACAGGTATAAACCATGACATCTTTAAAACCTAGGCTGAACTGATCTGTTTGCTGACTAAAGTAATGCCATGCATCCATGAAAGTTAAGCTACAGTGACTTTAGTGTCTAGACCCACACCTTTTTAATGGCATATTTCCGATCATCTGGCAGGACCAGGATAATTTTTCCGTCCCAGAACTCTGCCACCACCCGCTCCTTCTTCCAGCCCTGGAAACAACAGAGACAAAGCTGCACTTAAAAGGAACAAGTTCAGCACTCCATGAAAACATTGCTTTTGTAAAGTAAGATTTGATAAAACTATAACAATTTTTAAAGTAGGTGTTTGAGTCCAAGGCGTCAAATACTGCAAGTCAGATGATCTATTATCTACTGTATGGGCACTCAAAATAAGTCTCACTGAGAGCTGTACATGACTGCTCATGTCATATGGGATCATATAGTTGTGTGGAGACAAGTGCACAAATAATTCAGAAAGGCTGACGGAAGGAATGCAGGTTTACCACAAATTTGATGGAGTCGAAGAAGCGCTGGTGGAACTGAGTGTGCTGAAAATTGTCGTCTGGATTGTCAGCACTGTACACCATGCCACATGAGCTGCAGGCCATCGCTCCAAACTGCTTCTGGCCTGCATCCTGACAATACCAGAAAAAATAGGCATACACAAGAAGACGAATGCAAAAGTTCAACAAAAGAATAGAAACTGGAAGATTATGCAAACCTAGTATGACTCACTAATTTACTCCAAACAACTTGTTGCATGCCACTAAGTGGCATTAAATTAATAATACTGACCCATTGGCATGAAAAATAAGCCAGCATATGTGAATCAAAAGTGTTTTCTGAGCCCAGGCTGGAATGTTAGTGAAGAGGTTATTTACTGTGGTGAGGGTGTTTATTTAATGTTATTTCTCCTGAGAATAATGCAATGAAAAGAAACCTGCTGATGAACAAGACTAGTTTAAAGGGCTTTTTAAAAAAAACGTTCTAGAGTAAAGGGGGAAAAGGAAAAAAGCTGCTGCTAACATGCTTCAGCAAATGAGAACAGCCTCTTTGCTGCAACATTAGCACCAGGGAAAGCTATCATTTTCCAAACTGTTCTGTGGGCACAGGGCAACATTTTAATGTTTAAAACCTGACATACGATGATGAGCTGGTCTTCATCCTGCTTCCCCCTCCTCCTGCGAACACTTCGTTCTTTAACTGAAGAAGTCTGTAGTGATGTCATCGGGGCAGAGGGGGTGCTGCAGGACACTGGAGGCCGCAGAGCTGTGTTCCTTAACCTGCAGGAGATAAATCAACATACTGTGGAACAGTCTGGGCTAATGCCAAACACATCATACCAGAAGAGAACCAAGTTTCCATCCACATAATATTATGATTAAATGCTATAAAGAATTAACACAATGACAGAAGTGATTAACAGCATCTTCTCACAAGTGTTTGTTTCCTAAAACAAAACTATACATTATTTCATCCTCTTGCTTTCCATCTTCCTGGTATTATTGTCTTTACTGAAGAGAATAAAATAAAATAAAAATAGTTGGAATCATCATTCCCATTTTCTGCTACTGCTAGAGTCAAAAAAACTTTCTTGATTGTGGACATACAGTGCCCACTCCCTGTTGTGTGTCATACAGAAATCCTATTGTTAAATGGTAGTCTTGATTACCAAACA